AGAGCTGTGAGCTGAAGAGATAGAAAGTTTAGATAAGCCACCAAGCAGCAGTGGGAGACCTCAGGGGTTGGTTCCTTGGGGCAGCGGGGTAGGTGAGAAGAGAAGGCAGCTTCACCCCTTCCATCCTCGGATCCGGCAGCCATGAAACCTTTTTCTTTTTCTTTCTTTTTTTTTTTTGTCTGGGCGTGTCCCTCAGCTCTTCAGCTCAAGGTGAGCACTCTACCACTTGAGCCACAGTGCCACTTCTGGCTTTTTCCGCTTGTGTGGTGCTGAGGCAAGGCAAGCACTCTACCACTGAGCCACTTTCCCAGCCCCCGAAGAAACCTTTTCTCCTTTTTCCTCTCACCCTGTCTGGAACTAAGCAACAAGGAATTTTTTTTATTTTTTTTTAAACTGAGATGTGAGAGAGCCCCCAAAGTTTTATAACAGGCTCTCGACACAAATTGCTATAGAGAAGAAAAAAAAGTCACCCCTGGGAAACTTATCTAAGAATTTATCATGAGTTGGCCTATTTTGAGACTCAAATTACACAGGAGGGCTTGGGGAAAATAGACGCGTGCAGGGATGAACACAGCTACAATTAATGTTAACTATAAGGTGTCATATCTTTACAGAATGCAGGCAGCAGTGTGTGCTGTGGAGGGCGAGAGGAAGGTGAATTAGGTGGGAGGGGCAGCAGCCTCGGGGAAGGAGGAGGGAGCAAGAAGCAGGAGGCAACCTGCTGGAGAAAGCAGCAGTCACCTTGGGCAAGGTGGCCTCTAAAGTTGGAAATGCAGCCAGTATGGGCCCCACCTAGTTCCAGGGAACTCAACTCAAAACTGGAGGGACCAGGAGAAGAAAGACCAGGGGCTTTCCTAAGGTGTCACTGCCTCAAGGAGTATCACTGGGCCCAGACTAAGCTACATCACTTAGCTAAAACTATAGAACCAAAGTGAGAAATCAATTTCCCCTGGATGGAGGAGCGGCTCAGTTGGTAGAGCACTAGCCAGTGAGCAAAAGCATCAGTACTGAGTTTGAGACTTAGTCTTAGACCTTCAGAAGGAAGGAAGGAAAGAAGGAAAGAAGGAAGGAAGGAAGGAAGGAAGGAAGGAAGGAAGGAAGGAAGGAAGGAAGGAGGAAGGAAGGAAGGAAGGAAGAAAGGAAGGAAGGAAGGAAGCAATTTTTCTTTTTAAAAATCTCATTAGTTGGTGTTGTTGGCTCTAGCCTATCATCATAGGTCAGGAGGCTGAGATATGAAGTTCAAAGCCAGCCCAGGGAAGAAAAGTCCCAGTGAGACTTGTATCTCCAAGTAGCAGAGCGCTAACCTGGAGAAAAAGAGCTCAAGGACAGCACCCAGGCCCTGAGTTCAAGCCCTACAACCGACAAAAAAAAATATTACTAGTAATACCCAGAATGTTTAGTTGTGCAGGAGAGTGGTAGGTAACAGTATCAGGCTCTATGAATTTGTATCTCCCTATTTCCAACTGGCAGCCAATAGCATAACCTTGAATGGGGACATTTCACCTCCCAGAGTCTCTGTTTATTCTTCTGTAACATCTCACAATTAGCATCTTCAGTCTACTTTAGCAGACTTGAGGGAGTCAAATAAGAAAACTGTACAACCTCTTGGTCCTGTGTCACCATCTTACAAAGATTACTGTGAGTCATTTGTTCTGGTTTGATTTTCAAGGTTGAGGATGGGACCCAAGGCCAGGGCTCTAGCAGTGAGCTACATCTCTAGCCCTTTACCAGAGGGCTTGACTTCCAGCTAAACGGAGCTCTCATATCTGATTCCTCTTTTCTATTCCTGTCAGCCATCATGTTGGCTAGCACGCATTAACCTCCCCCATGAATAAATCATTGGTATGTAAATAAGAATTATTATAAAAAGACCATAGTTGTGTTTCATATTAGTTCTATCTAGGGGAGATCTTCAACTGGGAACTGGTTCTAAAATATTCTACTCTGCTTCTAACCTTTTATTTTTTGGGGGGGGAGGGGTCAGGTGTGTGGGGCTTGAACTCAGGGCTTGGGTGCTGTCCCTGGGCTTTTTTTTCCCCTCAAGGCTAGTGTTCTACTACTCTGAGCCACAGCTCTACTTCTGGTTGGGGGGTGGTTAACTAGAGATAAAAGTCTCATGGATTTCCTGCTTAGATTGGCTTCAAACTATGATCCTCAGATCTCAGCCTCCTGGGTATGAGCCACCAGCACCTGGGCTTCTAACTTTTTCTGTCCAATCCCAGCCTGTGTCACCTAACATTTGTGTCCACGTGAGAGCAAAGTCCATGTTTCATCCACTCTAGTTCATGTTTCATTCACTCTAGTTCACTCTGTTCTGAATCCAGAACAGAGCCCTGTGCTGAATGAAGCTCAAGATTTGGTTAATGGCTTCTACAACTGAGCACAATGCTTGGCACTCAGCAAATAGCTATTGAGTGATTAAATGTTTAAATGAGATGAACACTTTCTATGGTCTGCTTTCTAATATTTCAAAAGAAGCAGTATAAAACATGAGTAGAAGGCAAGCCCTGGAGTCAGCTGGTCTGGGTTTGAATTCTGACTCTTGTACTTCCACCAGAACTGTACCACCCTCTCCCTCCTCCACCCACAGGGTGGAGGAAAATCTTAGAAAATGTACTGGAAAATCTTAGAAGCTTCTCTGTTGGTCACTTTCTGCCAGTCAGACGTAAGTACCAGTTAAATATGATATGTAATCTCACTTAACCCCTGCCACAACCTGGGAGGTCAGGAGACGCCTACCTCATGATCTCACTTTCCAGATGAAAGGCTGAATCCATGAACATCTGGTGGAGGTGTGCTTGCTAACCATAACCCATTTCTCTTCTCCCTGTCCTCCCTGTCCATCTTTCAGGGTCCACTCAAAATCCCTTCTGCTAGGCGAAGCCCTTCTTAGCCACATCCCACTGGGCAGATGAATTGCTTTTTCAAACTTCCCAGTCCCCACAGCTTTCTGCAATTACTTTTCTCTTGGCCTTCATTCATTCTTCTATTTAAGAAGTATGTACCAAGCATGAATTGTGTGGCAGGCACATAATAGTAGGATCATGTAAATATTGAGTCCCACACATCAGACTGCCTGATTCCTCCTGCCTTAGCCTCTAGGTTGCTGGGATTACAGGTGTGTGTCATGACACCCAGCTTCACTTCATGTATTTAAAATACCCTGAAGACACTCGTGTTATCTTGGGTTAGCCTTGATTGTCCCTCTCTCCCACTGCCCTGAGCTCCTTTGTGTCTCCAGGGCTTCCAATCATTAGAAAACAATTTTGATGCTCTCTTATCTAAAGATGGAAAGTGCATAAAGTGTTACCAGGAGAGAAGCCTTCCCGCTCCCATGAGTGGTAAAGAAAAAGTGAGGTGATAGGCTCTTTACACCAACCACCTTTACACCAACTGTCTTTGGGATCACTTAGGGCACCAAAGCTAACTACTGGCCACCAAGTTTGCAGATGTTGGTCCATGAAAGGTCTACCTAAGAAGTGATAATGTAGCTCAGTGGTACAGCCACTTGCCTAGCATGTACAGAACCTTTGGGCTCCATCCCCAGCAGTGAGGAAAAATAAAATAAAATAAAAAAGAATGCTTAGAACTTATCATTGAATACATCCCTCATCCTGGAAACTAGGTTCCCAGTACCCTTGTATCATTTCCCAAGAAAAGGAGAAAAGGCGAAGGTGACCAGGATGGAGAAGGAAGTCCTCTTAGACACAGCCTCGTTGTCCCTATTCTCAAGCTCTCCTTTCACTCTTAGAAAAGCACTTGTTTCTAGGCCTCAATTTCCTCATTTGTAAAATGAGGGGGTTGGACCAATTTCTAAAGCTCTTTCCAGCTCTAAGCTGCTGTGCTATAAAATGAGAGAAATGTGAACCCTTTGGTTGCTATGATCTGAAAATATTTTGAACGTGGAGAATCAAAATTGTACAGCAGCGCAGGAACAAAATAATATGTTAATGACTAAAGATTGTATTCAGTCCAATGGGAAACGGCAGAGCTCCCGGCAGTGAATGTGAGTGCGTGTGTGTGTGTGTGTGCGCACACGCACGCGTGTCTGTGCTCGGCTTCCTTCCTGGAGCTCAAGCATATATTCTGAATCACTAATATAGTAATCAAGGCCTCTGGCAGCCTCTTTTGCCCACTCATAGAAACATACGCACACTCCCCTTCAAATGAAACAAGTGGGGTGTCCGGAGGGGGAAATCCCACCGCAGCCTGCTTGCATCCTTTCTGTTGGGGTGTTGGTTTGTTTTTAAAGAAGTTTTTGCCAGGAGGTGTTGGGTTGACCGCCCCCCCCCCCCCCCGCCCGACCCCGGCCCAGGCCTCAGATCTCAGAACAGGGGCGGGATGATGGTGTGTGTGGGGGGGGGGGGGGGGAGCTAAGGATTCCATTAGCATCCAGCTTTCCCTCACCCTCCACAGCCCCCACCACCCCAGCCGACGGGGGAGTGGGGGGAGCCGACCCTCCCCGCGAGAGGGGTTCGAATGGCTGCCCCAGAGGCGCCCCCGCCGGAACCCACGCTCCGGGCCCTACCTGGGGGGGGGGGGGACGGGGCGAGCGTGCACCTGCCGCTCACCTGTCACACACCTGGGTGCGGGTCTGGCCGCGGGAAGAAGGTTCGGTTAGCTCACTGGCTTGTCCCTCTTCGAAGGGGCGGACCGGGGCGGGCGGACAGGCCCGAGCTAAAGGTCCGACTCCAAGTCGCTTTCCCCTCAGCTCCGGGAGTCCCTGAGGCGGGCGGGGCGTCTCCGGCACGGGCCGGGGCGCGCCCACGAGGAAGCCCCGAGGTCCCGGGAGACTCTAGCGCAGCGGCCCCGCCCCGCCCGACGGCCGCGCCCGCGCGGCGGCCCGCGCTGATTGGCGGGCTGGAGGGCGCGGGGCGGGGCGAGGCCGGCCTCGCGGCCAGGTGAGGCGCCCGCCCCGCCCCTCGGCGGCTCCAGGTGCGGCGGCGGCGGCGGCGGCGGCGGTGGTGGTGTGGGACCTCGGGGGGCGGGGGCGCCGGGGCCCGGGCGCGGCGGCGGCGGCAGCGGCAGCGGCCGCGGGGCCATGGCCGAGTCCCAGCTGAGCTGCCTGGACGAGGCGCACGTGAACGAGAAGGTGACCGAGGCGCAGGCCGCCTTCTACTACTGCGAGCGGCGGCGGGCCGCGCTGGAGGCGCTGCTGGGCGGCGGCGAGCGGGCGTACCGCGAGCAGGTCCAGCGGGAGCGGCTGCCGGACTTCCTCTCCGGCCCGGAGCGCCAGGCCCTCCGCGCCGCCTGGATCCCCTACGAGGACGCCGTCGTTGCCCCCGCGCGGGGCAAGGCCAAGGCCCCCGCGAAGGGCCCCGCCGAGCCGGACGAGTCCCTGGCCTACTGGCCGGACCGCTCGGACACCGAGGTGCCGCCTCTGGACCTGGGCTGGACCGACACCGGCTTCTACCGCGGCGTGAGCCGCGTCACGCTTTTCACGCACCCTCCCAAGGAAGAGAAGGCCCCGCACCTGAAGCAGGTGGTCAGGCAGATGATCCAACAGGCCCAGAAGGTAGGCCCGGCCTCGCCCCCCACGCGTGCGGGGGTCCCCTCACCTCACAGCACATGCCGCCGCCTCACCTCTAGGAGATGCCCTGCAACCTCCCGCCCCCACTTCCTCCCCGCTTACCTCGTGCGGCTGCCGTCGAGGCCTCTAGAGAGGATGGACGTGAATGACGACTGTGAGGCCCGGTGGTAAAATGGGCCTCTTGGAGGCCTGGAGCACAAGTTATGTGCAGCCCACGACGGTCCTCAGCCATTTTCTCCATTCCTCAGTCCCAGCTTGGTCGTGTTTCTCTTGGCAAAAGCTTTGTCCAAGTCCCAGACAGCTGACCCGACCCTTACCTTCTCCTGGGGCTACACTGAAGCTCAAGCAGCCTAGAATGAGTGCAGGAAGCTATTGCAAGGGCCAGCTGTGGCCTGACACATGCTGGGCACCCTTGACAAGATACAGGCCCTGCCACTCAGGAAAAACAACAAACCTTCCACTTAGCCCCATCCTCTGTGCTTTTCTGGAAGGAGGAAGTGTTTCTAGGGTGGCTGGTTAGAACAATGGTGTTCTAACCCAGTGTATGTGAAGCAGAAGACCACTTAAGATTTCTTTTGTGCCCTCCCTTACCTGGGTAGCGTTTCCAGGTAAAACGTAGGCTATTCTGTTAAAGTTGAATGTCAAATAGCAGCTCTTTTGTGTGCATGTGTCCCAATTATCACATACCAGTACAAAGAAAAAAAGTTATTAGTTGTTTATCCGAAGTGGGAATTAATGGAGCATTCTGTATTTTTATTTGCTAACCCAAGCTCCTCCACCAAGGGTTGTAAAGAAATAGGGACAGATCAGAATATGCAACAGGAGGCTGGAGTTCACCAGGCTGCTTGCGTGTCTGTGGCCATGTAGCCAGGAACACGTACGATCTTGTCTAATTCAACCTCTCTTAAGTATGATTGGAGCCTCCTTTCTGTCGGAGGCTGAATGTGCCTGAAAAGGGGAAAGCAAGCTAGGAAGGGCAGAGGTGAGATTCCTTTTCCTGGGAAGGTTGATCTAGGTAGTTTGCTAGATGGGTTGCCAGAGGAAGGGTTAACTTTTCACTATGCTTGCTTCCGCCGGCATTGTTCCTTGCCTGACTGAGCTTTCTTTGTATATTGCACTTTGTAGAAGAAAAAGACAAGCTTGAACATAGAGGAGAGGGAAAAGGAAGTAGGTGGCAATGCTGGGCAGCAGGCTGCAGCTGGGGTCAGGGGTCAAGTTCATGATGCAATACTAACAAAGGCTCTATTTAGCACTTCGTTATATGCCAGCCACAAATGACTGCATTTTCTCATTTGCTTTTTACAACCACTGGTTTCAGGTAAGTATTGTCCTTATTTTTGGAAAAGAAGAACCTGGAATCCAGGAGAGTTAGGTATATGTTGAAGGTTACATATACAGTTAGTAAGTGACTGAACCAGGATCCGCATACAAGAGCTCTTGCTCTTCACCACTGTGCTACCCTGCTCCTCCTTTTTTCCTCAAGTAATGGTGCGGTGGGATTAAGCAAGGAATTTGGATGGAGCTAACCTGGCTCTAATCTGAGGCACAGAATGTGTGACTGTTATAAGAAGGGAGACAAGGGACCGCAGGGGCTTCTAGTCTCAGGTGGGAAGACAAGGCTATCCTGGGAGTGGGATTTTCTCAACTCTTTACATATTTACCAATGGAAACTTCAAAAGTTGTGAGCCAGTCCAGATATTAAATGCGAGTTATTTCCCGAGTATCTACTGCAGTCCTGGCATCATTCATAAAGAAGATCCAAGCTGTGACCTTTGCCCTTCCAAAGTTTACTCAAACATTGGGACTCTGGGGGAAGGAAACAAGTTTTTAAGGACAAACATACTTAATTTGGGAAGGCTCCTAAGGGAAGTGTGTTGGAGAGGGAGAGAAAGAAACAGGGATGGGTAATCTCTCAGTAAGAGGCCTGGAAAAGGAGTGAGATTTTTTTGGCTCTAGAAAACACCAGGAGGTTTGGCAGCAGAGCTGTCCAGGTAGGAGCTGAGTATGTTTGGAACTTTGGGGGAAATGGGACTGTCCCCTGGGAACAACATCTCTAATCCACCCACCTTTAGGACCCTCTAGGCTCTTCTTGCTCTTAATAACTTCCCCTCATGTCTGTATAGCACCCTGTTTCACAGGCAAAGAAACAAGCATAGAGAAGGAAAGGCGCTTGTCCAAAGTTTATATGACTGGTTAGATAAGAGCTAGATCCCTGGGCTGTGTTCTCAAGGAGGCACCTTATGACCACTACCTGGCCCCATTTCCCCACTCCAGCTTGTCCAGCTGGCAAGCAACCTCCGGTGTTACGGAATTAGAGTCTTCCTCCTCCCCATTCACCCCCAGGGAGGGAATTTCCTTTGTTCCTGGGAGAGTCCGGCTGCCAGGAGCCTGGGTGGGGCCATCCATGAAATGGTTTCTTTGTAGAGACAGTGGAAGGCAAGCAGAAGTATGTGCCAAAGAGATCTGGGTTTTATTTCATTTAGTCCTCGGAGTAACTTTCTCAGGTGCTATCATTTTTGTTCCCAAATGATGAACAGGAAATTAAGGTTCATAGGAAGTTGTCTTGATTTGCCCACAGTCATAGCCTGGAAAGGGATCTGCCGTTCTGTACCTGCTTCTCTGGGACAAGGAGGAAGAGGCCTAATTAAGGGGTACTTTGTAAACATGGTTGAGGCTTTGGGGGGGAGCTATAACTGTGGTGGCCAGTGGGAAAGCAGCCCAGCAGGTATGGAGTAGGCAGGCCCCTAGAAACAACAGCCCTAACCCTGTCTGTGTCCCTCCAACTCTCAGGCCCTCTAGGCTTCTCCCTTTAATAACTACCCCTCCTGTCTGTGTATCATAGGCAAGGAAACTGAGGCATAGAGAAAGAAAGGTGCTCATCTGAAGCTTATGTGACTGGTTAGATAAAGACCTAGATCCCTGGGCTGTTTTCTCAAGGTGGCATGAAGGGAAGGTCTTGGAGTAGATGAGTCTAAAGTACTACTGTCTGGAAATGGCTGAAAGTCCTTCCCAAGCTGTGCTGCTGGATAACCAGCATCCACAGATTCAGCAGTATTTACTTATGGGGTAGATTTCCCTTCCCCTGAGAAACCTGTTTATTTTTGTGTCACTTAATGATGTCCTTTATCTGCTTAAACTAGCTTCAGAAAGGAGGCCTTTAGAGACCCACACATGAGTGAAGCCCTGGCCTGTGTTAGGGCAAGTTGCAGCTGCTTGGGAAGGCAGAGATCATTGAAACTGCCAGGGAGTGTCTGACAGGTATGACCTCTTGTGGACTGGGATGCTCTGGGTTCTTGTTTTTGCAAAGCCAGAGTAAGAGGAACAAGCATCAGTAATCGCACCCGGCCGGCAACTTGGGAAGGATTATGTGTGCATCTCTTTAGTCACCAGCCAAAGATTTGGAGATCTACTGTGTGCTAAGTATACATTAATTTAAAAAAAGACAACATATAAAACACACCTAGGGTCTTAAGTAGCTTAATAGTCTATGCTAACCCATCATTATAATTCAGTATGATAAATGCCTGAGAAGAGGGTGTCATGAAGCAGGTAGGGCACTCATCCAGTCCTAAGTCAGGTTAGGAATGGCCTTTAAAGTTGCATGTCTGAACACAGAAGGAAGGATGAGATGGCATCATGCCCTCTGCCTTTCCTCTTGCTTGGCTCCCTGTGATCAGCAGCATCCTTTCTTTTAAAGGCTACTCGGTAGATTCAACAAGTTATTACACTTCAGGATCCGTGGACAACTCAAAAAGAAAAAAAAATATACTTCACCTCAAAAATGGATGCTTGACTCCTACATTTCTGGTTCCCACCACCAAACACACCAGCTACCCAGCCCCTCAGACTGTCTGGTTTCCTTGCTTGTCTCCATAACTGCTAGGCAAGGTATTGCCTTTGTTTATCAGGGGAGATCCACAAACAGTCAGTGACATCTCTAGACCAAGGACAAAGAGATGACACAGCCTCCCTGGGTTTTGGGTTAGGATTACTTGTGACACCACAAACTTTTACAAGCACAGCTGAGGAGAGAGGCTGCTAGTATAGGGGGTTATTACTAAGTAGAAACTTTTAAAAAAAATTCCTGTTGTAGGCAATGGAATAGACTTAGCTATTTAGTGGAGAAGGGGAGGGGGGAGAGCAATCAAGTTGATCCCCACCCTGTTCATGGGATTGTCTTCTATCCTAGTTTGGCTGAGAAGCTACCTTTTCCTTGTTATTTCCTCATGTTCCCAATCCAGAATTTCCATGTGGCTTGCTTATCCTCCTTGGCTGAGAGCATAGACAAAACAGAGACTCTCTCCTCTGGGTCACTTTTGTAGGGCTACAATGGTAGCATGTCACTGGGTGTTGAGGACCTTTTGAAAGACAGGTCTGTTCCCTCCAGGGAAACAAATGTCTGGAGTCCTCCCTGCTGAATTGCCCATGGGAGATGGGATCTGGGTTTCCTTTAGTCCCCATCATGAAGGAGGCAGACATGCTCTAAATGGGGAGGGGGAGGGGTGTCAGAAGGATCTGGAGAATAGCTCCAGAGCAGGTGACATAGGCTGGGTAGAGATCTGGACTGCTGATGGTGCCCCATAGGATGTGGCAAAATCCTGGAGCCACCAGTTCACCTCACCAAGAGAGCCATCTTGAAGATGGCAGCCTTTGTTCTGAGTAAGGCCACTGTCTTTCCTGAAGAACCTCAGTGGACTCTTTCCTGTCTGCTACATCCAGGAATAGCAAGATCTCCTCTATACCAATTACGATGCTGGGCATTGATATACCAAGATAAAACTCACACACACACACACACACACACACACACTACACATACACACACTGGGCATTGATATACCAAGATAAAACTCATACACACACACACACACACACACACACACACACACACACACACACACACACACACACACACACCTACCTCTAAATGGTTTACATTTGAAAAAATGTCCTGGTTTATAGAATCAGAGTCAGACAATACACTC